AAAGGCTATAAACGATCGGCCACCTGCAGGATCCTCACATGCGATAGCCTAGTAGCCGGGACAACTTCTTTATGTTTACAGACGTGACGTAATGACGCGGCGGCATGCTCGAATTCCCCGTGAAAACCTACCCCTACCACTCAAATTATAAAACATTATTATAACTAACCGATGTGAATCTGGCTAAAGTAAGGAGATAGTTTTGAACACTGGCTGGTTATCTACTTGCTCAAATATTGATTTCGGATCATTTTTAACCAAAAAAAGTTACGGACTGCAGCTTTAAATAAATGCAGGCTTGATGAGCATAAAGAGACTACACTACACTTCACATAATAGGCCTGTAGGGGGCACTTGGGCTTCATTAACTATGGTAGTTTCATGAAATAATAAACGGTGTATCAATATATATAAATACAGGTGAATTGAACACTACTTACCATTAATGTGACTTCTGGTGCTGCGTGGTTTTGTGTAGTGCTTTGTAGTCAGTTAACATCCATTTTCTCAGTGATGCAATTTGATTTATAAATAGAGACAAACTGCAGATCCAGATCGCTTTAATTAAATTTGTTCAAATTAATTTGTTATAATTAATTATTTTTTTTTTTAAATTGAAATTTAATAGAAGTACTGTATTTAAGTTGCATGTACGAACTTAAATATTTTATCTATTACGATAAAAATAAATAATGATTCGATTTACAGCACCTTCATAAATTGAATAAAAACATTAAAAAGCCAAAACATAGATGATGTGCATTCTTTCTTCGTCATTTTGTAGAAAAAAAGTTGACAATTTTATGCAGTGATGGTCTGGTCACCATCTTGAAAACCATTACTAACATTGTCAATAACTGTTAGATCATAATAAAATAAAATTATCATTTGTAATTATTTAATATGTATTAAAAACGACCATTTAACGGGTGCTGTATAATCCCAATCTGTACGTTTTACTAACTGTTTCATTTGACGTGTTTGTGTTTTGGGTGACTTTTATTTTGGCATGTTTTGACGTGTCGTTGTTTCCGGCTGTTCCGTCATTCACACTTTCAAACATGGAGTCTATTTTCCACGAAAAAGTAAGAATCGCGTTTTAGCGAATTATATTTATGACTTATATTTATGTATCGCACATGTGCTTGACCCGATTAATGAGAGATTTGTCTGCGTGTCCGCGTATCCTTACACGAATGGGCTCATTCGGGTTTATATGAATGGTTCTTGGACTTTTATCGACTGTCAACAATCCGAAATGGGCTGAAAATCGTTTGAAATGTTTGTTTACTTTCAGTGTGTGTCACTTTCATTATTCTCATGTTATGTTTCTGGTTGCGTTTCTATAAACATCACAGTAACTACGTTTACAAGCATGTACAATAGTACTTAATTATACACTGTAGTACTGAATGAATATCACGTGACTAATGTAGTCCAGACTAGTTCTGAGAATGTCGTGGCACTACATGTTTTCGCTGAAATTCTAAAGTAATGATCCGTTATTATGGGATGTCCTTCAGTGATGTTGCTGTAAGATCAAGAACTGAAATAACTATGTTAGCAGTGTAAATGAGTGATCTCAGACATTGTCAGAGGCCTGTTGATGTGTGTCTGTGTGTTTCAGCAAGAGGGCTCTCTGTGTGCGCAGCACTGCTTGAACAACCTCCTGCAGGGAGAGTACTTCAGTCCGGTGGAGCTGTCGGCGATCGCGCAGCAGCTGGATGAGGAGGAGCGCGTGCGCATGGCTGAAGGAGGCGTTCAGACGGAGGAGTACAGGACCTTTCTGCAGGTGCTACACACACGGCTCATTTCAAAGAACAATGTCACTGTTATACGTGATCACAGTCGTAATACGCTGCTCTTCTACCATCTTTAGCAACCGTCGGGAAACATGGATGACAGCGGCTTCTTCTCCATTCAGGTGAGTCACGTTTGAGGCACAGGGAAGCAGTTTAGTGGAGTGATGCCGATGCTGCCAGGACAGTATGTGGACATGGGAGAACACTGCAGCTGCACTACTTCTGAATTAATGTTCTTGGTCTTTTTGTGCATGATTTCCAAAGAATGACAACATGTTTGTCTTTCGTCATACTTTAAAGACTCGCTCCACCTCTGAAACAGCTTCTTTTTCATAATGTACCCATCTGATGGTCTGAGTCTGTGTTGCGCTAAGTGTTTCATGTCGACTCTTCTGCACGGCTCTGGGCAATGCTGTGCTGTGTTTTGATGGTGTGTTTTGAG